TGGATGGAGGAGTGGATGGATGGAGGATGGATGGATGGATGGAGGAGTGGATGGATGGAGGATGGATGGATGGATGGAGGAGTGGATGGATGGAGAATGGATGAATGGATGGAGGAGTGGATGGATGATGGATGGATGGATGGAGGAGTGGGTGGATGGAGGATGGATGGATGGAGGATAGAGAATAGATGGACAATGAACAGAGGATGGAGGATGGATGGGTGAAAATGAATAAATGAAGGCTAAAGGATGAATGAAAGATGGGAAGATGAATGGATAAAGGTCAGATGGATGAATGGAGAATGGATGGATGAAGAATGAATGAAGAATAGATAAAGGATGGAGGGATGAAGAATGGATATAGGATGGAAGGATGGATGGAGGATGGATGGTGGAAGATGGATAGATGCAGGATAGAGGGATGGAGGATGGATGGATGAAGAATGGAGAGATGGAAGATGTATGGATGGAGGATGAACGAAGGATAGATAAAGTATGGAGGGATGAAGGATGGAGGGACAGAGAATGGATAGAGGATGGATGATGGATGGAGGAGAGATGGGGAGAGGATAATGAATGGATGATAGAGAGTGCATGGAGGATCGATGGAGAGTGGGATTAAGAAGTGACACTACTTTGGCTGTTTAGCAAGTAATATCCTCATGAGGAGTTTGCCACAGAAATTAAAACACTCCGACATGAGATTTGGGATTTATCTATAGACTGCTTCTTTCCCAAAACCAAGGAAGTGAGAACTCCTTAGAGAACAGCTCTATCACCACTGAGGGTACGGAAGAGCAGGAAGCTAGAGAAATTCCAGGAACTAGGAGCAAGTGACTGGAGCTCTCATTGGTTGGAAAAACTGGAGTGTACACAGTAGAGACCCCAACAGGCACAGGAGAGATTTGAGAAAGGAGTGGTGTCTCCCAGAGCAGGCAGCCCTGTGAGGGCCTTTGGGAAGGGGAAAAGGGCAGGACTGAGATGAGGCCTGCAGGGAATCTGGGCCCTGGAGGTGGGGGGCAGGTGGCGGGCATGGGTGTGAGGAGGCATGCGGAGTTGGGGCGCGAGGAGGCATGCAGAGTCAGGAGAGCAACATACACTTACGGCGTTATCCCCCAGGATGTCCAGCTTCTTCATCAGCTCAGAGACCAGGATGTCCTAGGGGCAAGGAGACAGGACAGGTGGGAGGTGAGCGGCTGCCAGGGTGGGGAGGCGGGGTGGTGGGAACAGGGCTCACCGTCACGCCTTCAGCCTCGCAGTACACCTGGAGGGGGCTCTTCCCTTCCACAAAGGGGGTGTGGTGGAAGTTGATGGCTGGCGACTTCCTCTCCCTCTCCTAGGACAGAGCAGAAGGCTGGGCTCGGTGGCTGTTCCCTTCTGGCCTCTCCCTTTGAGGGAGGCTGTGCTGGGGCCTGAGGGCATGGGCCAAGATTGCCAAAGAGGACTCAACACGTTAGTTTCTGAAAAGCCCCAGGGCAGTGTGGCAGGGGCAGAGCCCCGTGAGACAGGCCCTGTGCACGCACTGACCCCACCCAAGCCATGCAGGGCTCTGGCCCCACTGCCCTTGGCCACATGGCCCTGGGTAGTCCCCATCCCAGGGCCCCTTGTTCATCTGACAGTAACTCCCAGGGGTTGTTGAAGGCTCGTGGGGAAGTTGTAGGTCAAGTGTCAGCCCTAGGCCTGGTCACAGCAAGCCCCTTGGGAGCACGGGCTGGTGGTGCCACCACTGTCCTCACAGGCAGGACCATGTGTAGAGATCCCAAGGAACCCAAGAGGCCCAAGGAATGGTCATCCACATAGAGGGACTGATGGCTCTCCTGCCTACCAGGAAGGGAAATGAAAGAACTCTGGGGCAGATCCATCTGGACTCTGAGTAGGGTTCATCTGCTGACCAAGATGGAGGCCCTGGCACAGCGTGGGGTGACCAGAGGGGCAGCACCTGCATGGCCACTTCCTCCTGGCCTTATGGTGGGAATTGAGCACAGTGACATGGCCACTCACCCCCAGAAGGCCATGGTGTAGGGCACAGGGCTGGGGACAGCAGAGCTGTCCTTGGTCCCTGCTCAGCAGCCAGTGTCCCCTACTTCTGTGAGCAAGAAACGAGTTGTCTTTGGGGCTGACGGCTGAGGTCTGGGCATTTTCCCTGCCTTGTGTTGTCACCAGATGCAGCTGCAGGGACATGCTAAGGACTGTCCTAATGGGGCCCAGACACAACACTGGTATGTTTATCTTGCTTCTGTTTGCCCTCATGCCACTGAGTTTTGCAGCTCGTGTCCCCAGGTCACACCCCCATTGCATGGCTGCCCTTTGTGTGAGGGGATGTTCAGAGGCCTGAGAACAAGAGCCCCCAGTAACACCAGCTCCGAGCAGGATCGCCCTGTCTGGCCACCACTGCCTGGGCAGCCCAGGTACCTCAAGCTCCAGGATCCTGAACTCCAGCAGCTCGTTCTGGTCTCGGGCATCTTGGACCTCATGTTTCAGCCGGGCCTCTTCTGTCTCCATCTGTTTTACCTGGATGACAGAGGTGGGTCAGGGGAAGGGTCGGTGCTCTCACCAGAGGTCATAGGAGGTTGGTGCCCAGCCCTATCACATGTTGCCTGGGTGCATTTGGGTCCATCCTGTTGAGGCTGGGTGACCCCCCCTTGGTTAGTCAAGGTGGAGGCTGGACAGGGAAGGCCAGGCACAGCCCACAGGGAGCAAGGGTCCCAGAGAGGCAGCACTGAACTCATCGGCCTGGGCAGGGTTGGGGTGGGGATGGGGTGGGGTGTTGGGGGATAAATGTCTCTGAGCCACTCTCTGGTTCCCCCTTGGAGCTCAGGCTGGCCCAGAGCCTGGGGGCACATTGTTTGTGATGGCAGGCAGGGTGCCATGGCTGCCTGACCACCTTCCAGCATTTACCCAGTTAATTAAAGGACTACTTAAACTGTACCCACATGTGAACCTGATGCAGGAGTCCCCCCCCTCCAGAGGGGGAAGTGATGCAGCTGCAGCCTGTGTCCTCAGCAGCTTCACAAGGGCAGGTGTCTACCAGGAGCAGGTTGCTGTGTCCACCCCCACCCCCTGAACCAAACTTGAGGGGCTAAGGGGCTGCTCTGATGCTCTGGGACAGGTGAGGCAAACTCAGGAGCACTGCATCCTCTGAGCCAGCAGACTCAGTGGAGAGTCAGGACCTTTCCTGGTCCACTCATGTGACATGCACAGCTAGGCCACTGTCAGGCCCCTTTGATACCAGGAACGTGACCTCATGCTCATCTCAGCCAGAGGAAGTGCAGGCTTTAGGTGTGCATGTGAGTGACTGTGTGCACGCAAGTGACTGGGTGTACGCAAGTACTGTGTGCATGCAAGTGACTGTGTGTGCATGCAAGAGACTGCATGCAAGTTACTGTGTGCACGTAAGCAACTGTGTGCACATAAGAGACTGTGTGCATGCAAGAGACTATGTACACACAAGTGACTGGGTGCATGCAAGTACTGCGTGGATGCAAGTGGCTGCATGCAAATGACTGTGTGCATGCAAGAGACTGTGCATGTAAGAGATTGTTGTGCATGTAACAGACTGTGTACATGCAAGAGACTGTGTGTGCACCTAAGAGACTATGTGTGGACGCAAGCGACTGTGTGTATGCAAGTGACTATGTGTGGACGCAAGCGACTGTGTGTATGCAAGTGACTATGTGTGGACGCAAG